TTGGATTGGCAGCACATTATTTCGCTTTCATGTCACAAACTTTATTCAGGATTGGTAGGTGAAGGAAAAGCTTTGGGCAGAACACTCAAAAACAATTTGGTATTGGGCCAATGCTCACATCGTGTTGGGCCATGGCCCACTGGCCTCCCCCGTAGTTACGCCTATGCCTCCATCGCTTTTAAATACGCGACAACCCTCACGCCTCGCTTCGGTCGGCGTCCGCTAGGGCACTATCTGGAAAATGTTCTAAATTTTTCTTTGATTTATTGTATAAGGTTCGTAATCTGATGTAAATCTAAAAGGTTTTCTCAAGACTCCGTAAAGATCCCCAGAGGTCTAGAAATATTTCTGAATTCAGAACAATGCTCGCGCCTAGCTCCGGTCTAATTAGTCGTTATCGTTACTTGTACGGTAACTGCTTACCCGTTACCGTTACCAAGGACGTCAACTGTTCAGCAGGTACAGTTACCGAGTAACGTAACAGTAACTGGTAATTGTCACAGCCTTACATCCATCGTAACCTTGTCCAACACAGTAAGCTAGATCTATTCCTAAAAAGAAAAAAGTAATCAAATATTTTTTAGTTAGTTAGAAAAACCCAGTCTGTACCTAAATCTAAAATAGTTTTGATAATTAAATTCGCTAAACCAGAGCCCGATCGATCAGTAACTTGAATGAACATTAAAAACTTTTCATGAACTTGATTATTTAAAATATATCTAATACAAAGACTTGCTTGTTCAATATTAGCTATATCAGCTTGAACGAGGAAAAACAAGTAGAAAAGATGAAACAGATTTTCAAATATTTCATGTACGTGTTTCATCTAATAATATTGTATAAAATTGTGCTAATTTAACTTCTTCAATCACTTGTTTCAAAACTAAAGTACCAATAATCGAGATCACTTCATTTTGTGTTGTTTTTGAAATATATGTAGCATTTTTACTACATATTTCTAAATGATTTTTAGGTGCTGCATCACCACTTGCAATACGATATTGTAACAAAGCATGAAAATTTCCTTCATTTGCCAATGATGCATCATTTTCTATGACTAAATCACCATCATCATTAAGGAAAATTCTGTTTGCCACATAAAATAATTGTTTCTATAACTGGTTTCAATCCTGCGCGATTTTTTGCAACTTCTCTTTGTAAACGTCCATCAATAATTAAAATATGAGAAAAGAAGTACAAAGGAATAAAAAATGAATATAGAATAGAGAAAATTGTCCACCTCTTTTGGCGTTCATTCTGTCTTCTTCATCACTTTTTTAACTGTTCAACTTTGCTTTCTATAGAAAATAGTGAACGACATATGCTCTTTATGTATATTTTTTTCATCTCTCTCTTAAATACTCACTTGAAATGATGTTTCTGGTTCTTTTGAATATACATAAATAAAATTTTCCATTCTTGTCATACAATCTAAATGATAATTTTTGTTTTGATGAACAACTAGACCTCCCATATTTCCAAGCAGATGTTTGTAATTGTCTAACGGTTGTGCGACAAATTTTCCATACGAGGAAACTCTTGTTGTTGATGTTGAAAAGATACTACATGCAATATACCTTTACCATATAAACCCCTTTTTGAGGTGGTGAGTATCGAAGCTACTTAAATTCATCTAAATGACTTTGTTTCAGATATCTTTTTTCTATGACTGTTTTTCCATTTGCTACTGTTGTTCGTTCCTTGCAGGGCCAAACAAATGCATTATGAGAGAGCTGAAAATGTCGACTTTTTTTTCGCCAGACGGATTGAGCTGAAATTTTGGGTAATGAATAACGACTATTAGTTAAACATTTTCTGAAAGTTTCATCAATGACGTCTCAACGGTTGCGAAGATAATTACTTTTATAGAAGGCGCTAAGTGAGTAGCGTTTATTCTCGTTGAACATAGCGCTGTTGAACAAAAGCGATTGTTTCAAAGAAACGACAAATCTGTCCGAGTTATTCATGATTTAAAGCTGGTTTAGAACATGTTTGCCGAGTTTTCTAGGTTTTCTGAGTGACTGTAGTCCTCTTCTGTTGCTTGGTTACAGAACAGAAATCCTATCAAATGGTAATTCTAGGTGATAAAAAACAAA